TTTTTGAGCAATAAAATCCACAAAGAATGACAAAAAACGTCGAAACGCTTCGTCGAATAATAGCATTATTAAACAAGCAAGGCTGAACAGATACAAAACATAATATAAAAAAAGGCTTACCTTGAATATGTTACTTTTCTGCTGCGCCGAATGAACGTCTTTTGAATTGAAGGCGGGACACGATGAGAAGTACTTTATATTTACAACTCTCGTCGAGCAATGGGATGTCAGTCAGTTGCCGCGATGTCACGTCCCTTTCACACCGTCGGGCAATTCGAATTTTCTCCATTTGGCTTTTTATCCCTCGGCTGTCAGGTTTATGGCCGCACCTGAGCTAACTTCTTGATACGAAAGAGAAAATCTGAGCATCAAATGAGGGGAAAGCAAAGTAAAATATTTTCATAGTTACATCCTAATCTGATAGAAGGTCATAAATCCAGATCGTCCAAAATAGATCGAACCCAATAAGCAGTAGTAAAGAAGAATTTTATAAATAAATAAAAATAATTAGGATTTATTAAATGAATTAGAATTACCTACTCTTTCATCGTGTATTGACTGATTGGATATAAAACAATTAGTTGGATCCATATACTTTTGTTAAATCATAACCCCAGCCCCTTCAGACGTATATGGATATATACATATAATATTTGAAAAACTCACACACATATATCGATAGATAGATAAATATCTAAAAAGTGATACCGAAGGTATAAAATGCATTTTAAAAAAGAAATAATATTCTTAAAGCTTTTATTTTAGTTTTAATTCCAACTAATAGATTAAATTTCATCTTTTCAATAACAAAATACTTTTTTCTGTATTTCACACTGAATTTAAATTGATTGGAATTGAATTAAGCGCTAAAAAAAAGAATTTACTGAAAATGACATAAAATTAAAGTTGTGGGTAAGAGATGTAAAAAAAAAAAATATTTTTACCAAGGTTTTCTTAAAAAAAAAAAAAAATATTTTTACCAAGGTTTTCTCAAAAAAAAAAATAAAAATATTTTTACCAAGGTTTTCTCAAAAAAAAAAAAAGAAAAAAAATATTTCAAAATGAAAATCTTTTAAACTTTAGAGCATTTTTCTTTCTTTTTTTTTATGTGTGAGCTTTTTTAACGAATTTGTGGATACTACACACATATATATATATATATATAATTTGCAAAACAAACGAATAAATGTCGCAGTAAATACAACTTTTTTAGGGGCGGAATTATGTGCCCAATATCGGAGAGAAAGCCACTAAAGATTCAAATATAGATCGACAATTAAAATCATTTAAAATTCTGATCACGGTAAACTTCCTGATCAGTTCCACGGCCAATCGATTTCACGTGCAAACAAAAACACACACATACAGACATACACACACACACACACACAAATATACATAAATACATCCTCGATCAGTACAATTTTTTCTTAACCTGTTCAAGTCTCGAGTTAACCGTTACCTTTTTTCCTATACGTTCAAAGTGCCTCCAAACGTAACCTTTTACCTTGAGTGGCACCCGGGCTTTGTACAGGGTGAACTTTACCATAAAAAGAATATATAATACTAACAATATTTGAACGCTACAATGTTTATCTTGCAATAAACAACACCCTGATGATGACACTGTGCTACGTCGAAAGTACTCAGAATAAAATAATATGTATCAACACGGTAATTTTCTCTCTTCCTTCAATAATGACACCAAAAAACTTGTCCGTGAATATGAAAGGATCTAATAAGTAGGAAAAACCTGTCTAAATTATTCAATGAAACATGTTTCAATACACACACACACACACACACACACACACATATATATATATATATATATATATATATATATATATATATATATATATATTACAATGAATCATTCATACAAAAAGTAGATTAGTAAAGTTAAAGATATAAAAAGACGAAATCCCTTCGCGAACAATATTTTTAAGGTGCATTAACCTACAAATCACTCGATGAAGATGACTAAATGTACATTTGAAAGTACTTGCGTATTAAAGACCTTACACAGTTTTTAATTTTTAAAAACAAGGATCATAAAATTCATCGTGTGATTTGTAGTTTATCGCACCTTTAAAATTTTGTTTGAGAAGGGATTTCGCCTTTTTATACATTTAACTTTACTAATCTACTTTTTGTATGAATGATTCATTGTAATATAAATTGAACTGCACCACATATTTGATACATACATACATACATACATATATATATATATATATATATATATATATATATATATATATATATATTGGTGAATATACATAACATCCCACCTCGATAGTACGACTCGGAGTTTCATGCGGATAGGCAATCTTTATGTGCAGAATAATCACTGACCCGGAAGATTGCTTATCTGCATCTAACTCAGAGTCGTGCTATCGACGTAGGTCCTTATGTATATTCACTAACATATACATAATAGCTCTGTTATATAACACTGTTTTTATAACACCAGAGAAAAATATATATGTACGTGCAAGTATATGTGCGTATACAAATGTTTTTTCATACCATATCTATCTATCTATCTATCTATCTATCTATCTATCTCTCTCTCTCTCTATATATATATATGTATATATATATATATATATATATATATATATATATATATATATATAATATTAGTGGTCAATATGTATATATATATATATATATATATATATATATATATATATATATATATATATATATATACATATATATATATAAATATAAATTTCCAAGAGGATAGAATCCAGGTAGAACTCAATATCCAGGACAGTGTAAGTGTTTGAGCCTTTTTTATCATATATATATATATATATATATATATATATATATATATATATATATATATATGTTATTATTATTATTATTATTATTATTATATATATATATATATATATATATTATTATTTTTTTGTATATATATATATATATATATATATAATATTATTATTATTATTATTATATATATATATATATATATGTATATAATATATTATTATTATTTTGTATATATATATATATATATATATATATATATATGATTCAGAGAATTTGAGATGTAAATATCTGAGTAAATATATAGTCTCGGGAAGTTAAACATGTTTAGTGTTGAGCAAAATCAGATCTATTTATCAAAATTTGAATGAGAAAGTCCAAGGTATGTGGATTTCATCAATGATTTCATATGTTTTCAATAAGTGCACCGCCTGAGACAGACGTCAAATCGGTAGTCCAGTTCTTGCCAAAGACGCTCTTTAAACTTTTTGTGCCATGTCCAAATCTGCAGTGCAGTTTTGGTGCATTTTTAGAGAATCTTCTCACAAATGCACGTTGCACAATCCTATTCAACTCTGTTCGGGCATACTCAAAACACCTTTACTTTTCCTGTAAGCTGAGTTGATCGATAGACAAGCTGAGTTAATCGACAGACTGAAGCTGAGTCGATCGCTAAACTGAAGCTGATTTAATCGATAGACTGAATCTGAGTCGATAGCTGAACTGAAGCTGATTAAATCGATAGACTGAAGCTGAGTCGATCGCTCGACTGAAGCTGATTTAATCGATAGACTGAAGCTGAGTTAATAGATAGATTGAAGCTGAGTTGATCGATAGACTGAAGCTGGGTTGATCGATAGACTGAAACTGAGTTGATCGATAGACTGAAGCTGGGTTGATCGATAGACTGAAGCTGATTTAATCGATAGGCTGAAGCTGAGTCGATAGCTAAACTGAAGCTGAGTTAATAGATAGATTGAAGCTGAGTTGATCGATAGACTGAAGCTGAGTCGATGGATAGATTGAAGCTGAGTTAATAGATAGACTGAAGCTGAGTCGATCGATAGACTGAAGCTGGGTTGATCGATAGACTGAATCTGGGTTGATCGATAGACTGAAGCTGGGTTGATCGATAGATTGAAGCTGGGTTGATCGATAGACTGAAACTGAGTTGATCGATAGACTGAAGCTGGGTTGATCGATAGACTGAAGCTGAGTCGATGGATAGATTGAAGCTGAGTTAATAGATAGATTGAAGCCGAGTTGATCGATAGACTGAAGCTGAGTCGATGGATAGATTGAAGCTGGGTTGATCGATAGACTGAAACTGAGTTGATCGATAGACTGAAGCTGGGTTGATCGATAGACTGAAACTGAGTTGATCGATAGACTGAATCTGGGTTGATCGATAGACTGAAGCTGGGTTGATCGATAGACTGAATCTGAGTCGATAGCTGAACTGAAGCTGATTAAATCGATAGACTGAAGCTGAGTCGATCCCTCGACTGAAGCTGATTTAATCGATAGACTGAAGCTGAGTCGATAGCTAAACTGAAGCTGAGTTAATAGATAGATTGAAGCTGAGTTGATCGATAGACTGAAGCTGAGTCGATGGATAGATTGAAGCTGAGTTAATAGATAGACTGAAGCTGAGTCGATCGATAGACTGAAGCTGGGTTGATCGATAGACTGAAACTGAGTTGATCGATAGACTGAAGCTGGGTTGATCGATATACTGAAGATGGGTTGATCGATAGATTGAAGCTGGGTTGATCGATAGACTGAAACTGAGTTGATCGATAGACTGAAGCTGGGTTGATCGATAGACTGAAACTGAGTTGATCGATAGACTGAATCTGGGTTGATCGATAGACTGAAGCTGGGTTGATCGATAGACTGAAACTGAGTTGATCGATAGACTGAATCTGGGTTGATCGATAGACTGAAGCTAAGTTGATCGATAGACTGAATCTGTCGATAGCTGAACTGAAGCTGATTAAATCGATAGACTGTAGCTGAGTCGATCGCTCGACTGAAGCTGATTTAATCGATAGACTGAAGCTGAGTCGATAGCTAAACTGAAGCTGAGTTAATAGATAGATTGAAGCTGAGTTGATCGATATAAAATGAAGCTGAGTCGATGAATAGATTGAAGCTGAGTTAATAGATAGACTGAAGCTGAGTTGATCGATAGACTGAAGCTGGGTTGATCG